GTGACTGGAGAGTCCGTGGTAAAGGACATCCAGGGGACCTGATCTTTGAGAAACAGTTTGCTGTCAATGCCCACTTTGAACAATTCTTCAGCCAACGTTATCAGGTAGGCCTCTATGCTGCCCTTGCCAATTGGGTTTTTGTTCTTCACAAATGGTAAGCCCTTTTCTTGGATCATTTCCAGGATATTCCTGCGTAGAGACTCATAGATGGGAAGCCCCTCATATGGGATTTGAAACACATAGGAACAGTCTGTTCTTAGCCTGTCCAGCCAGTTCTTTTCTAAGCTTCTTCCCTTGTCACAAAGCATAGACTGGAATTGGACCAGAGCTCTGCGGAAATGGTAGTGTGTCTCTCCAGGCTTGACGACTGGTAAGACGCCTCTATCAGCTGTCTGGTTTAGGATACCAAGGCCAAAGCATTCAAGGTATTTGTTGTTTGGATACCGAGACATAAAGTGAGAATTTGGATTGCTGGAGGCCCACCATGAGGCCTGTGTGCCAATCAGCAGCCCTCCACCTTCTGCAACGAATTCCATCACCTTGATAACTGACATGTTTTCAAATGTATGACAGCAATAGACACCCACTTCACTGCTCAGATGATCTACATTGATGCACTCCAAGTTATTTTTTGACAACATGGGGCCCAGACTTCGCAATTGTTGGCTCAAGCCAGTTACCACTTTCTGGTTCCGTGACAGCCAGCCCAGGGCGTTGATCACAAATGGGCCCATCTTCTCATCAGTGAATAAGCCTTCATGGCCACTCAACACCACTCGCCCCTGGCCATAGTGGGCAGCTGCAAGAATACAGCCCAGTGACCTATCTAATACCAGGGGGAAGGCCATGGCCCCGTGCACCAGCAGCTTAGAGGGTATGACTCCTGTTCTGATGTCCACCTCGGAGATCCCTTCCAGGAGCTGCTTCTGGTCCTGGCTGAAATCCTCTCCACACCTGGAAAACAATCATTGCCCACATTAGAGCCCAGGGGGGCAAGTGGGTGCAAAATAGAACAGAGGGGAAACCCAAGACCTGGGCTATTCTGATACAAAGTCTTTAAGAGGAAAGAGAAGAAATGCTACTTTAATCTTTTGTTGTACATCTTCAAATCACTTTTCACAAAGAATAATTAATATCATGAATGAACTGTAATCTCAGTCAACATTCCTCTGGCTATTTTGATTTCTAGGTTGTTTAATGGAATAGCTAAAAATATGAGATAAAATTTGAAATATAACCTATCATTCCTTTAGAAAGTAGTCTTGCTTATACATTCAGAAGGTTTATATTCTACACATATGGACACACACAAATTCAAAAGGTTATTAAATTTTCAAACTATCCTTGATAAAGCCATACACTATGTTTTGCCATATTTACTTTTTGTAGCTTTAACATAAAACTTCTAGAATTGTTATATTAAGAAAAAAATTTATACCATTCCTTATTTTTAATGAAGCTACCTAAGAAAGTATCACCGCTGTTTCAAACTCTCAGATGAAATATTTCTCTATTAATTACATTCCACATAGCTATCCAAATCTTGGGACTTGATTGAGGAAATACATTTTAGTACAGACATACTAAAATTCATTGAAAGTGTTAATTGAAGGTGTAGAAAATTATAAGAAGGACACACATTAGAATGCTATTAGTGACCAGCTCTGGATAAATTCACAGTAAGTGACTTTGTTTTCTTTTTATACTTTTCTACATTTTTCTTAGTTTATTGTCATAACCAGTAATAATTGATATCTATTTGAAATTATGTATTTATTGATTTCACCAAATAATCACTGTAGATTACTTCTTAATTAATTTTCAGCATAAATCTAAGAACACATCTTGACAGTTTTTGTTTCATTCTCAAATCAGTGATTAACATTTAAATTTTATCATCAAATATATGTCTCTTTATCTGTATAGAGGTTTCAAAACTAATTTTCAAGTTGTGTCTATGAAATAGAAAACTTAATAAGAAAAACTCTGTGATTGAGACACATTGAAACAACAGAGATCAAGTTACAGTATCTAGAGAAAGAGGTGTTGTAGCTAACAAAATGTTAAGTGTATTGATGCATAAGTGAAAATATCCCTTTCATTTCAACTCTTGATTTTCATAGAACCTCTGTAAGGGGCCATTCAAGGGACTGTGACAAATTGGTCAACATAACAAACTAGGCCCACTGTACTGGTCTACACATGTGGTGTATGTCATGGCCATAAAATTAGGTCAACTTAATGAGGTGGTCAACGTAAGGAGGTAGTCAGCTTTGGAAGCCCTCCTGTGTATCAATACAGCTTAGTGGTTAAAATCTCTCATGCTGGAGATAATGTCAGAGCACTAATAAATTTAACAATTTTCTCATTCTGCTAGATAATAAGAAATCACTTGATGAAAGTTATTTCTCATTAAAAAATAAAATTAAAAATGAATCCTACTAGAAGTAAAAGTTGCTTATCTGAATAAAGTATCCATTACGACATATAATATCTAAATATTAGAAACTTTCCTATCAAATCAGGTACAAAAAGGCAAGTCTGCCCTGTATTACTGCTCCTAGTCATAATTTAATGAATGTCCTACCTAATGAAAGAAATATTACAATGGAATGAGCAAAAATTGCTCTTATTTGCTGGTAAGATTGACACTGCCAAAAAATTTAAGAGACTCAACTGACAAACCATGATAACAAATGACAGAATTTAGGAAGTGTTTAAATTCAAGATAAATGCAAAATTTAATAATTATATTATTAATTCAGAAATATTTATAAAATGGATAACTTTATAATTTACACTGCCAAAAAGCATGTGAGGACCAAGAACGTTCCCACTTAAAATTTGCAAAGCCTTTCTGATGAAATCTTCAAAACTTGTTAACAATATGAAGAAATGCTAGAGTAAATCAGGACACATACATAATTCACAAATGAAAAACTCAGTATTTCCAAATATTATTTATGCCCAAATGAACTCTAAGTTGGGTATAATTTTGCTCAAAAAGCACAACGTATCTTAAAGAAAATGAACTGATTCTATAGTTAACTCTGTAAATGTAAGTGTCCTAAAACACATAAAATTGTTGAAAATGCTGACTTTTCATATAAGAATATGAAAGACAATTAGTTTTCCCAGATATGAAAACTCACTCCAAAGCTACAGTAACAAAGGCAGTATGGCTGTCCAGAGGTTAGAGCTGAAAAACAAATAAATATATATGGAAGCTTGTTATATGGAAAGGCAATTTTTACAATCACTTGATAAACATTGAATTTTCAATAAATGTTGCTGTCATAACTGGCCATACATTTAGAATTAGCATACATGATATAAGGCAAAAAGGCTGGAGGATGGGTGGAGGGAAGAGGATTGGTGGGATCACACCTATGGTTCATCTTATAAGGGTACATGTGAATCTTTCTAAATGTAGAATATAAATGTCTTAACACAATAACTAAGAAAATGACATGAAGGCCATGTTGACCGGTTTGATGAAAATATTTCAAATTGTATATAAATACAACACACTGTACCCCATGACAGTATTAATGTACACAGCTATTATTTAATAAAAAAAGAAAGAAAAAGATACATTTTTGTGGTAGGTTGAAAGAGGAGTATTAAAAATTACTATTCTTGAATTGAATTTAAAAAAAATTCAATATCTAAATGTAAGACATACAGTCATAAAAGTACCAGATGAGGATACAGGAAAATGTTTCATAATCAATAAGGAAATCACAAAAACTAGTAAGAAAATAGATAAAGGATATGAACAATTTAAAGAAGAAATAAAAGTGACCCTAAATATATACAAATTTACATGTAATTAGAGAAACCTGTAATCTTCACATGAAATCAGAGAAACACAAATTGAAACAACATTTCATATTTCATACTGACAATAATACCAAAGATTCATAATATCCAATACTAGACGTGGTCTGGGGCTCTATTTTTGTTATGAGTGAAAATTCATATAGTCTTTTAAAATGGCTCAAATCAACAGTTCAAGCTCAAATATTTTTGAACTGGCAATTCACCTTCTTACAGTGTAGCCAAACAAATACTTGTACTTGTATGAATGCAGTGACCTATAAATTTCTAAATGTTAAGGAACCGCAAATATTAGATCCAATCCAAATTTCCATGGTTAAATAAATATTCCATAGACACTCCACAGAACTCTATCATCTGTGCCAAAGAATGAGATAGATTTAGATACATATATATACATATATATATATCTGCAGGGAAATTAGGTAAGTGAGGAAGAACTTTGATTCATCTAATCCTTGGGATGCATTTATAGGACAGTTAAGAGTTCATTTGATCCAATCTTACAGTAATAGGAAAGCCTACCATTTATCCGGTTTTTGTCTAGTCCTACAGACTGCAGTACTTCCCTTAGCTTTGTCACCATTCTGATGCTACTCGCCCTTTTTTTTCCTGCTGCTCCACTTTTAACGTGGACACCACCCTCCCTCAGGGGTCTCCCTTGGGTTCTAGGAAGAAAAATTCCTAAATGTACAGATAAGGACTGTGACATGTTGCATTCTCCCTGCTGTCCCTGAATTACATTGACCTTCAATTTCATTCATTTCATGTTTATTTAGCATCTACTGTGTGCCAGATACTGCACTAGATACTAGTGATATAATGTTAAGCATAATAGACTGTCTCCCAGGAACTTTATAGATATTTTCTCCACTTACAGACCATTTTTTAACTCTTCAAAATCTGGAGACATAATAGTAAAGAAGACAAAAAAAAAAATACTCTGCTCTTAAGACATTTAATGATCAGATCACAGTAGAGAAAAAATAAAGATGTTATTACCCCTTATCTACCACAGGTCATTTCTCCACTTATAATAGTAATTCAAAATGATTCCAATTTACAGTGGCCAATTTCTCCTCTGCTACACCGCAAATCTCCTAAAAGTGGGGAGGAGGACTGCTACTTCCCATAGATCAGACTACCTAGGGAAGTATCACTCACCTGACATGGAGCGGGATTGTGGGCACTTTCTCAGAGACTTTGATATGCCCTCTGTCTGCATAGATGTCTGTGAAGTACACCCCAGTGACACCTGTCACCTGGTTTCCAGGGAACATGGACAGCACCTTGCCATGGCCATGCTTGTCAGCCCAAGAAGAGGCTTGGCCTCCAATGAGTAAGCCACCTCCACGTTTCATAAACTGGATCAGCTGAGCAGTTTTGATGTCATCATAGGCACCAGTACAGTAAACGCCTGGGCCCTCTTCTGGTTCTGGCTCACTCTGGGCCTCAACCTTGGAGCCCTGCAGGATGTTCACTAGGGGTTCCAGGGATGGGTGGACTCTAACAGGAGCCTCAGGGGAGCAGCGCAGCCAGCGCACAGCATTGAGAAGAAATGGAGCCAGGCCAGCATGTCTCAGGTAGCCCTCATGGGGCAAGACTACCAGACGCCCCTTGCCGTAGAAGGACCCAGCAATGAGAACTTGGCCCTTGTCATTCACCATCACTGGGAAGGAAGCCTGTCCAATAAGAAGGAGTTCATTGGGGATGATGTCTTTGGGGACATCCCAGCTTGTCACTCCATCCATGAGGACCTTGAAAGCAGCAGAAGGGCTTCTGGCCATGGCGGTATCAACTGCTATGAGGAAAAGTATGGTGAATGAATGAAACAAACAAACAACCCCCCCCCCAAAAAATGTTGGTTAAAAACAACAGTTACTTTCTTTCCCATTGTCATAACCCGTAGACCCCATAGCTAGACTCATGTAGTTATATGTGACATCTTGTCTGGTGATTTCCCAGGCTCTTGAATTCTTCATATATATGTCTATATGTCTAAGGAACTGTACTCATTTCATCTATTTTTATTACTCAGATATTACCTTTTATGCCTTTCTTACCTCCACCAACTTAGATGATCTCCATGGCTCTGTCCTCCACTAACCCAACTTTCTTCTTTTTTTTTTTTAATACATTGATGCATTTATAGGACACAATGTGCTGATTTTATATACAGTTTGGAATAACCAACTCTCCCCTTTACTAAATTCATCTGCCAAGCAGAATCTACATTTGTGGTCATCCGCATGACAACACCTGTCAATAATCTCCATCCCTTACACCTAGCCTGGCTTCCCACAGTGGGCAAAATTCTTTTCTATGGATCAGGATCCGTGTCAGCAGAGTCACAGTAATCAGCTCAGACTCTAGATGTAGTAGGAAACTCAACTTGTGTTGTTTGTTTACTCTTAGATCAAATACTTAAGCTTCCTTTTCCAATCTGTATAGATAAGAGAATGTAAACTCAAGGGGTTTTGATGTGGAGATTGATGGAATTAACACATGCCAACATGTGCTCAGAGCCAGGAACATTATGATTTCAAAAGTCAATTCTTGACTTTTTATAATTTTCTTTATCAATTTCATTCAATTTCAACACCGGCCAAACTCTGTGAGTGCTTAGAAGTAAATGGTTTTCAAGGAGTTAAAAGACCAGCTTATCCCGCTACAAGTTTGATGAGGAGTGAGTATCTAACTATCAGTGGGCTCTTTGAGTGCCTGCAACCCTAATTAGCTAAATCTCTGTTTAGCATGTTTGTCCTTAATTGATTATCAGTGAGATGGCCAGAGGCATATGCACACACACTTCTATTTGGGGAAAGCAATCAACTGTTTTGCCAAACAAATCTTCGAAGAGTACTGGTCAGCCCAGAAAGAACTATGTTAGAGATGATAGTCATGTATTTAGAGAAAGGTAAAAAAAAAAAAAAAACATCTCCTGACTTGGCTTTGGGAAAGGCAGAGGGAACCTTGGGAGCACAGAAAGGGACAGGGAAGAATGGTCATTATGGTTTCATCAGAGATTGTGGCTATAGTTGGCTTCCATTTCTCTTTTACTCCAGGGACTCAGAATCCAGAAAGGAGAGGGGAAATATGCTAGATCACCAAGCTGGTGATAGATCCCAGTTGGGGAATAGAGCGAGCCATACATGTGGTAGGAATTTTCCCATGCAACATGCCAGCCTGACCATGTCTGAGACTCAAGATGAAGCAATGTGGGTGGAGATTCAGGTTGGGGGGATGGTACACATTCCTGTTCAGAGACGAGCTATAATGTGGCTTAAAGCTAAGAGGAGGGCTAGTCATAAAACCCCCAAAATGAAATTGTCTGAAGAAAATACCCCCATGTTGAGTATTTTCTGCAAGTTTGAGCTCCCTAGTAGGGAGAGGAGGGAGCAATGAGTGGATGCAGTGAGACTAAAGGGAGAGATTATCTGAGAGTGAGAAGGTAAAGGGTTCTGTGAGATCAGGAGGGTGTGACTGGCCTCTGTGAAGTGTCCCCAGAGGGGTGGGAGGATTTGGAGTCTGAGTGTTCAGGGAAGGATAGAAGAAGGGATTTCTTGTACGTCTGGAGGAATTATACCCAGTTGCCAGGAATCTCTGTCTCTGTGAAGATGTTTTAGCTTAAGAAAGCAGCAGAGGCTCGGCACCTGTGGCTCAAGTGGCTAAGGCGCCAGCCACATACACCTAAGGTGGCAGGTTCAAATCCAGCCCAGAACCACCAAACAACAATGATGGCTGCAACTAAAAAAATAGCCAAGTGTTGTGGCGGGCGCCTGTGGTCCCAGCTACTTGGGAAGCTGAGGCAGGAGACTCGCTTGAGCCCAGGAGTTGGAGGTTGCTGTGAGCTGTGATGCCATGACACTCTACCCAGGGGGACAGCTTGAGGCTCTGTTTCAAAAAAAAAAAAAAAAGAAAGAAAGAAAGCAAGAAAGCAGCAGAACCAAAGATTTCAAGAAACCACGGACTTTTAAACAACAGGCTTTTTCACTGTAGCCAATGTGGACAAAAAACCTATAAAGCCTTCCTACATAGTTTTCCTTAAATTAAGAATATTTGTAAAATTCTGAGCTTTAATTGAAAGACCCCCAGTGCTTAACCTTCTAATTAAGATGAAGTTATCTAGGTGTAGTAGAATTTAATTTGAATTAGTAGATTAAATGACATTTCTCCCCCTCTTCAGGTTGTAGAATAAGGATTATGAGGATAAGAACAGACTGTGCTCTGCCACCACCTGTATGATCTCTGAATCCACTGAAAACCTTAGAGCCTAAAACAGTGACTGGACAATGGAGTCTCCTTCATGCATTCCATATGTAACCAAGAACAAAGCCATATACTTAACTATAAAAGAAAAGAAAAATAAACAAAATTCTAATTGTCCCTTTGGTGACTACTTCTAATTTCTTTTTGCAATATCAAATGTAAACTTTCCTTTGGAAATAACTTTGTTTTTGCTGCTGCTAGAGCTCACCCACTGGATCTCTGGTGACAGAGGAAGTTCATCATTTCTCAGAGCCATAGATTTCTCATTAGCAGTACAATAAGGCAGTTTCTGAGTCCCCCTCAGACCTGATGCTGACTGCCCATGGCAGCAAAACAGAAAACATCAGACTCTTGTGTAACAAGACCTGAGAAGAGTAAATACAGTGTGAGCAAAAGAAAGAGAATCAGAGAGCGAAGAAAATCAGAAACAGAAAAGTGACAAACCTCAAGGGAACTTGTCCCATGCCCTTTGAGCATTTGGAAGGTCTGATTCAAACACATGCACATATGCCTTTCACTGATACAAGAGCCCAGTGGCTGACATCCTCTCAGTGCCCCCATAGGACCGAGAGGACTGACCCCCATTGCAACACACAAAGTTCATAACACCTCCCACTCTCCATCCTGCCTGGGCAACAGAGAAATTCACATTCCAGAAACAGAGTGAGAAGCTTACCTGATGTCTGGATGTCACCTGGCAGACTATAGCCCAGGTCTACTAAGGGTGCTATATATGGTGAAAACCAGTGATTATCTTTGGCATATCTTTCTTCCTTCTTCCTTTTGGGAAGGTAGCACTTGGCTGGGAGACTTCCTTGAACACCTGAAAGCCACTCAAGGAATGTAAATCCCTGGCCACTTCCTTGGAGTCTGGGGTCTACAGCCCACACTTAGGTGATTCAGCCTCTGAGATTTTCCCAGCCCCTTCAACTGTGATCGTGTTGTCGGCGTCACTCTCTGCATGACAATATTTCCCTGTGGTGAGCAAAAGAGTCTCTGTAAAGCTTATATTACATTTTGTGAAGAAACATAAATAAATATTACAGGAAATAGTGGCTGGTTGAGGTAAAGCCTTTAAGAAAATGAGCAAATACACTGAGGTCTGTGATTGCTTTGGACATACGTCCAGCCGAGGCTCGTTCTTTCACCTTTCATCTTTGCTTTGTTCCTGGTTTAGGAAATTAGAATGCCACTACTAACCAAATTGGTTGTTCTGAGATAGGTGATTGCCCTCTGGTTAGAGGCACAAAGCAATGCACTTGGGTATGGGGCATGACCAGCAACTGCTATGATCCTGCACAGTATTCCCAGTGTTAGTGCTGAAAGCTTAGAAAGAGCTATGGGTCTGAAAGCTGAGCCACCAGCAAATAATATTGAAAAAGTTCACTCACTAGGATCCATTCACCAGTTTATTGACTAGTGTGCCCAGTGATCACTGTGCTGAATTTATTTGTTCCTCTTAGCTGCTACTTGTATAATAGGCAGAACTTCATACTGAATGTGAGATATCTTTTAATTGGATTATGAAGATATTGGTCTAACTGAAGTTTGGGGTAGTTTGTATTTTAATTTATGACAGCATGTATAAAGCATGTCTTTTCTCCAAAGACATGGTAATATAGCTAGAGGGAGATAGATCAAGGACAATCCACTGAAAATAGATCACTTTAAAGGTTAATATTAGAGAAGAAAATACCTGAAAGAAAATTGAACTAAACATCAACTTCAGAAGTTAGAAAATGATTGTTATTTTATGATCTCCTGAATAGCACAAGAATGGGAGTCAAACTAAGAGCAAATATTATTCAATAAAAAGAAAATGGAAGCAGTGAAACTCAGAGTTGGTTCTTTGAAAACACCAGTCTCTAGTGAGACTGATTAAAGAGGAAAGAAGAATGAGAGACAGCAAAAATAAGTATCAGGAATGGAAGGAAATGACAGACGATGCAGAGACTAAATAATACAAAGAAGTATGAACATCTTCAAGAAAATGTATCTGCAAGTTCAAATAATATAATTATTGAAAATTATAACTTTTAACTGATTTGAGAAGAAAGTTGACAAATGATTCTGTGACCATCAAGGAAATATTAATAGTAGGTAAAAACTAGGAAGAAAGTTCTAGATGCAATGTCTGGTGAGTTCTTTTTACTTATTCAGGGAACAAATAATTTTAATCTTATGAAACTTTTCCAAAGAAAGCAAAGAGGAAACATTCTAGAACTTATGAAGAAAGATGTAATTTTGATATCAAGATAAGACAAGAAAACTAAAAAGAAAAGTAACAGAACAATCTAACCTGTAAAGATAGATATAGTAAATCAAAGAACAATGGTGAACTTATAAACAATGACTTCTATGTGTCATCAACCATAACTAGTTGGGTCAATATTGAGTCCTGCGTCAATACTAGTAAAGCATTAAAAAGTCAATCAATTAATCCACATATGATAACAGATGAATAAAGAAAAAAAAGCATAACTATATCAATAGTTGAATAAATACCTTTTATTAAACTCAAAGTCTATTCAGTAAAATCTCTTAGGCTTAGATAAGACATTTCTTAAGCTTATAGAGGCCATTTACAACAAACAGCCAATATGATATTGAAAGGAGTAAAACTGAAAACATTTCCACTCAGACCTGAAACTAGACAAGGATACACCCTGTCACCACAGCTATTAAACATAGTGCTGGAAGTCCTAGCCAGTGCCATCAGGCAGAAGAAGGCGATTAAGGGCATTCAAATGGAGGCAGAGTAGATTAAATTCTTGCTCTTAGCCAATGATATGATCTAATACCTGGAAAACACCAGGCATTCAAATACAAAGCTCTTAAAAGTGATCAAGGAATACAGCAGCATCTCAGAATACAAAATTAATACTGACAAATCAGTAGCCTTCATATGTGCTAACAATAGTAGAGCCAAGAATATAATTAAAGTCTCTATACCTTTTATAGTAGCTCCAAAGAAGACGAAATACCTTGGAATATATGTAACAAAGGGTGTAAAATATCTCTATAAAGAATTATGAAAACCATGAGGAAAATAATAGCAAAAGACATTAACAAATGGAAGAACATACCATGCTCACGGCTGGAAAGAATTGTTAAAATGTCCGTACTACCCAAAGCAATCTACAGATTTAATACAATCTCCATCAAAGTACCAAGCTCATACTTTGAAGAACTTGAAAAAGTAGTACTTTGCTTCATATGGAACCAGAATAAAACCTGAACAGCTAATACAACTATTAGACGTAAAAACAAATCTGGAGCCATCATGTTATCAGACTTGAGGTTATATTACAGGGCTATAGTGATCAAAACAGCATGGTACTGGCACAAAAATAGAGTCGTAGATCTGTTGAATAGAATAGAAAATCTAGAAAACCATGCCACAGTTTGTCACTTCATCTTGGATAAGCCTAACAAAGGCATGCACTGGGAAAAAAAATCCCTGTTCAATAAATTGTGCTGGGAGAACTGGTTAGCCAACATGTAGAAGCCTGAAACTGGGCCCACACCTATCATCATTGACAAAAATTGATTCTTGCCTTCTAAAAAATTTAAATTTAAGACAGAAGGGCATGTAAATTATACAAGACAATGTCAAGAAAACACTTGAATATATTGGCTTGGGAAATGATTTTAATAGGAAAATGCACCACCACCCCCCGCCCCCGGGCAACTTCAGCAACATCAAAAATAAATAGCCGATTTGATTGAGCTAAAAATCTTCTGTACAGCTACAGCTACGGGTACAACAACCAAAGTAAACAGACAGCTTTTGGAATGGGAATAAGATTTTTGCACATTATGAATCTCACAAAGGCCTGATAACTAGAATCCACAGAGAACTCAAATTAATCAACAAGAAAAGAGCAAACAACCCCATTTCTAAGTGGGCAAAGGACTTGAACAGAAACTACTCTGAACAGATGAATGGTCAACAAACACAAGAAAAAATGTTCATCATCATTAATCATAAGAGAAATGCAAATCAAAACCACTCTGAGATATCACCTAACTCTTCAAGGATTAGCTCACATCACAAAGTCCCAAAGCTGCAGATGCTGGCATGGATGTGGAGAGAAGGGAAGACTTCTACACTGCTGGTGGGATTACAAACTATTACAACCTTTATGGAAAGAATGATGGAGAATTCTCAAACAACAAAAATTTGATCCTTCTTTTTGATCCTGCAATCCCATTACTAGGTGTGTACCCAGAAGAATAAAAATCATTTTACCACGAAGACATTTGTACCAGAATGTTTACTGCAGCTCAATTCATACTTGCCAAGTTGTGGAGGCATCCCAAATGTCTATCAACAGATGAATGGATAAACATACTGTGGCATACATACACCATGGAATACTATTTCACCATAAAAGAGAAGGAGACTTTACATCTTTTATGTTTACTTGGATGGAGTTGGAACACATTCTTCTTAGTAAAGTATCTCAAAATGGAAAAAACTTATCCAATGTATTCAATACAAATGTGAAAGCAATATATAAAAATTACACACCCTCATGCAGGACCTGTGGTTAAAAGGAGTAGGGCACTGGCCTCATACGCTGGATGTGGTGGGTTCAAACCCAGCCCAGCCCCCCCCCAAAAAAAAAATTACACACCCATATGAATGGTAAAATACTAATATGGGCTATCAAGGGGGAAGAGTGAGTAGGGAAGATGGAGGAGCCAAGGGGATTGGTAAGATCTCACCTAATGTGCATAATGTGACAGGGTTCAGCAGGCCCCCTAGGTGAGGCACTCTTCCACAACTTGAACTTTACCTTGGAAGTGAGAACAATGAACCTAAAAAATTATAACCTCATATTAATTTAAAATTAAAAAAAGTAAAAATACAAAAAAATTTTTTAGAAAATATTTACAAAACATTTTTCATGTCATCCATCCCTCTCAACAATATGGTAATGAATATTTGAAAATAAAATTATATTTAACTGCAAAAATGTTTTTATAGCTTGCTTAAACACAATATGAATCAATACTAGGTGTTGTGTGTACAAAATGTATGATGTTCTGTAAGCTATATGGCACCAAACTATTTTTCTATTTGTACAAGAAGACTGTTAAGATGGAATCCAGGTATGATACCAAAACCCACAGAACCCATGCTTAAAAAAAGTATTCTGAAAATGTGGGAAATAAACCTATCCCTGTATGGAAATAACATCACCTAAAAAGTGTCTGTGTTCTTTTATTTTTTTTGTAAGTTTGACCACGTCTAATATCTCAGCTGAATATCTGTTTGTACACTAGTTACATACTGCTGCCGAACAATCTCTGATGAATATAAGTGTGTCAGAGATGATCTCAGCAGTACTCATCAAAGTCAGGTTTCTATTTAAAAGTTCTTGGTTAAGATAACCCAGGGGGCCCAAGCAATAACTTCTCATCATAGGAAACTATGTGTTAATAAGTGGTATAAAAATTAGAAGGAAGCTAACACCTTTCCATTTTCTTCTACAGAAATGGAGACTAACAGATCAGAACAGAAGGCCTGTATGGAGTTACTATCACAGGCATGTCAGCTGTCTTATTTTGACATTGCGAAGCCTTATGAAGAAATATGGATTATTGTGTGGTGGCACAATTCTTATTATGGGATTAATTCCTGTTCTAGAATGTAATAACATGAAATAATAGGAAAAATGCTGAGTCAGAGTAAAAGTATCTCCCGTAGAGTTAATTTTGGCTAGAAATGTTAGTTACTAGAAGAGAAGAATGGACATAAAAATATAGAAAAATAAGATCTAAAACAATTGAAGGCCTGAAAATTTATGTGAATAATGGTTACCCCCAATATAGAAGCCCCTGAGAAATAGTTTATATTGTTTTATAATGTCATTTTCCTGAAAAAGGAGAAACATGAAGGAATGGAAACTGTGGCCTCACAATGCAGCTGTATTTAGAAGATAAAAATAGGAAAATGATTATAATCCCACTAAAATTTCTTTCTGGAGTAATGACAACATTTGCTTTAATAAGGATAAATAATTGAGCTCATTTTATGATGGCAAACAGGTACAGCAATTTGCATTTCTTATCTAATCTTTTCCCAGCATTATACAGTCTTGCTAGGAAAGTATGAATGCAATAAACACCTGCAGGAAAACTGGTGTGTGACAGGACCTGCACTTGGGGCTACAGGTGAAGCTGTGAGTAAGACAGGCACGGTCCCTGTTCCTAACAAGTTTCCACGCAGTGGAAGGACAGAGTTCAAAAACAGAACTACAAATGTGATGACTGACCTATAAATGAAATTACAGGTTTAATGGAAGCAGCGGCATGGGGACATAATCCTTAGGATAAGAGCTAAAGAATGAGAAGGAATCCTTTCAAAGTCTTAGACACGATTCTGAGTTAATACACCATACCAAATTAATATAGAGAAGTCCTGCCCCTTCCCCAAGGCCACCACTAATTATTTAAAACAAAAGTGATTTGAAGCGATGAAGTCAGGGCTTTAGGAGGTGCTTTTGCTAATTCACACAGTGGCACTCTGAGGGCTGCTGGGAAGATGACATGAGGTTACTTACAAAAAATAACTCTCACAGTGCAAGGGACACTGACTGCTCCGTAGGGGTGGTGGCATGATGATATTTTTATTCAAAAATATTTCTTGAGCACCCTGATGTACAAAGCACTCAGCAGAGGAAACCAGTGACATGAAAAGAAATTGTTTTATTAATAGAGTTGAGAGATGTGCTGGCAGGATACAGAAAATGACATTGCCCAGGTTGGACGCCTCATGAGGATCCACTATACCTCCCCAAATCTTATGGAATAACATCCATACAAACAAAAATATGGTGTAAAAGTGAGCTAGAGAATAATGGTTAGGCATGTACCCCATTCATCCTGGAGACAAATCTTCAGTTGGTCTTCACTCTACCAAGAGTATCAGGATTGGTTAGAAAGAAAGTATTAATAAGCTCGGGACATTGGGGTCTGAGTTAAGCAAAGGAGGATTTGGTCTGCTGCACCAAGTCATGCTGTCCCAGAGGGACAGCGTGATCCTCTCACTGTGTCCGTGATCCTCTCACAACTGGCAGTGCCTACTCACTGGGACTACAGGGGTCAGATCCCTGTTTTGTACTAAGAACAAATAGGCTTACAGACTTGGTAGCAGTTGCTGAAGTCACATTTCCCTTTGGTTGAAATAAATGTTGTGGAAGATGGAGCCATCAAAAAGGACCAAACTCCAACCCCTCTGTAACACTCAGTTTGACTGCAGGTCATTTTTGTTAGGGTTATTTTATACCCAAGAAAACTTCTAGAGGTGGGAGAAAAAATGCAGAATGTCCTGGTACACTGAGGACAGCTCACCTAACAGGTACCTTGT